AAAAGTACTCCAGAGTGTTGTTCAGCATGGGGGTGAGTAGAAAATGAAGGCTAATCATGTTTTGGGTGTACTATTCCTTTAAAATAAAAATAAAGGTGCTCTGGTCACATCAAGCTGCTTGGACATGGTCTTATAGCCTTTAGCTTTGATATGCTGTTCAAGAATTTTCTTTCTAGTCGAAGACACTGCGCTTCCTCTGTCCATGTTGAGTGTGGTACACACTATGTCACCATTAGCCCTACTGTATAGGCCCACTGACTGATGTAGACACCTGTGATGCTTATCAGTGGACATACCTGGATTTAAAAATGTCCCTTTGGTCACATTATTTTCTATCTATATCTAGAGGTACCATCATTTTTTTTCCCCAGGCTGGTTTCATAAGTTTATTTTATTTAGTTATTGCGTTAAAGCATAATTGAAAAGTAATGTCTTTCATTTGCTTATTTTCATTTTTCTTCATTAATTCTGTCAGATTCAAGTCATTTTGTGACCATTGAGGATTTCCTTTCATAAAAGCAGAGTACCAACTAGTTTTTCCACTTCTGTATATATATATATATATATTCATTTTGTGACCATTGAGGATTTCCTTTCATAAAAGCAGAGTACCAACTAGTTTTTCCACTTCTGTAGATATATATATTTGCTTTTCTGCAAAAGCAAATTAGTGGGTTTATGTATAAAAAGCAGATCAGAATGTTACCTGTTGAAGCTTTCCTGAATTTATTTTTTAATGACTATATTTCTAGCTTCAAGTCAGCAGAGTTTGGAAAAGCTTTCATCAAGCGATGATGATGAAAGTGAAAAGCTGACATCCAACAAGGTTTGTACAAACTTATTTTTTGTACATTTGAGCAAATGTAATCCAGTTGACTGTGTTTGAGAGATTATATCTTTCATTTCCCAGCTATCCTCTGAGAGACTAAGGAAAAAGCAGGAAAAGACGGTGGCCCAGCAGGCTAAACGAGAACAGTTGAAGAGGCTTCATCGAGCTCAGGTGCTCCTTTTTTTCTTTAAATCGAGATGCTTGTGATGGAGAGCTTGGTGTTGCTGCAAAACACTTCAGCTAAAGTGTGACTGTATCAAATTGTGAATACAGCAGTAATAAAAGGTGAACACTTGGCTTTGTAAATATTTTAGATATTTTCCTGGAAGGTCTCTAAAGAGCTGAGTCTGATGCAGTTCAAAGAGATCCATTTTAAGCTTGTATAACAGTGTTGAATTAGCAGTTTTGACGAAATCAGTTGTTCCCTCAAATTAACTCGATACGCACACAATGTTTAAACTGCTGCACCGTGACATCACCGAGCAGATGAAGCTAAGGGACCTTGCACTCCTCTACCTTCGGCTTGGAGGGGCCCCATAGATGTTGAGACAGGATTATGATCTGCATCATATGCAGAATCAACTTTTATAGAAAGTTTGAATGTTATGATGTTAATCCTTCTTCAAAAGAGGTATTTTACTTGAGTCTCACATCTCTAAGTTATCCTTAAGGAGAGAACACACCGAATCAGATTTTGCATCCGACCCAACAGAACATCATGTGTGGCGAGGTCATGGCGTTAAGCGCTCATCATGGATGATCACACCCGATGCGATTTTACGCAAGGTGGCTGCGAAGGTCCGAATGAGATAGACTCCAGGTCTGTTTCAGTCGGACTACGCAGCAATTCAGCAGCAATTTGATGGGTCTGACAGGAAGAGAGACGTTGATGTGTTTTACAAAGTAAACCACATCTGCTTTTGGGGGTAATACAGAATAAAATCTATTAATCGCTCAGGGAAAGAGTCAGTTTTGGAGTCGCATATCCATCCAATCCATATCCATATCAGCATGTACAAAGTAGATCATAAAGGGTTAACATGAGCTATAACTGCTGAAATAAGAGTGCTCTGGTGATAGTTTTTTTGCTGCATTTCTGTGGTTGACTTTGGTATTGTACAATATGCAGGCTAAGGGCAGATAGCCTTCATAGCTGGCTAAACAGCTGCAGCAAATATCTAGCATTTCATAGACATCAATACATCAGTTGATATTCTAATCACCAAATACAATTAACAAGACATTCATGTTACTTCTACAGAGTTATTTTCCAAGCCTTGGTGTGAATAGTCCATCCATTTGGTTTAGCCAAGAAAGTCGGACAACCAGGTCTAGACGGCGGCCATATTTTCTATGACCCTGCAGCCAATGTGGGGCCTTCCACTCTTAATTATGTCTATTCCACTATATATCTAATGTTCCACCTTTTTCTTTTTACTTGCACAGGTGATCCAGAGACAACTGGAGGAAGTGGAAGAGAAACAGCGGGATCTAGAGGAAAGAGGAGTGACAATAGAGAAGATCATTAGAGGGGAAGGTATTTGTGCATACATTCTGAGCAGTCTCCCAGAACTCACAGTTATTATTAGACTCAGCTATTAGAAAACATTAAAGTTTATAATGTGGCTGAGAGAGAAAAATGGACTGAACCGCCCCTTTATGTCAGAATATGCAATTTTCATCAGTAATAAGGCATGTAATCTGCACTTCACCGGAATACTCACCTGGAACATTATCCAGCCAATTGCTAACACCAAAGTTGCTAGAGACATTTTAAAAAGTGACAAATTTTCATTTTTTACTGCTAACAAAAGTAAAAAACAAAATCCCATATTTTGAACCATTTTTCTTAATTAAACCATTTCTAAAAACTTTCCAAAGCATAACTTTTTAGCACCAAACCATTTAGAAAGAGGCATCATCTTATAACTGTCTGGTTAAAAGACTCCATAGTTAATGGTTGCACTCACTCTGGCCACTAAGACTGCTTTGTTGATTCCTCTCACAGTAGACGGCTTTGTTTATGCTGCAGAGAACAGTGAAGTTGTGTCAGACTTGCGTCTATGAGTGGTCAAACTGATGGATTTCTCCTAGTTATGGCCTTGCAGGGCTGAGATAAGTCATTTAGATAAACTGCAAGTGTTCTTCCTCTCTTAACTTGTTTTCCTCTAACTTCTGTCCCTAAAGACTCCCATCGCACAGAGGAACTTGACGACACCGAGCTCTATCAAGCCTGGTTTAAGCTTGTTCTGGAAAAGAATAGGTTGGCACGCTACGAGTCAGAGCTCATGATCTTGTAAGTAGCAGTAAGGTAATCAGCTACATGGCCAAAAAGCATCAAACAGATTCATTGCCGTTAAGGATCTTTTTCTTTTGTTTCTTAGTGCCCAGGAGCTTGCGTTGGAAGACACCCAAAGCCGGCTGCAGCAGGATCTAAGACGCAGAATGGCAATTGAAGGTACGTCCTTAATCTGAATGTTTTATGGTCATGAATAAGGAGCACAGGCCTCATTTTCATCGCTGCTTTTTTATGTTCTTTCAGATACAGATAAGAGTGCTTCTGAGCTCCAAGAGGAGAAGGAGATCCTGGTTGAGATCATGAGGACGGTGGAGAAACGGGATCTGCTAGTCTCCATATTGGATGAGCAGAGGTTGAAGGAGAGGGCCGAGGACAAGGACCTGGAAAGCCTGGTTTTGTCCAGGGGCTACGAGTTTCACTGGGCTTGAGGGAGCAGCATCCTGGGGCAGGAGAAGCTGGAATGAGCTCTGGTTGTGGATACGTTCAGCAAAACCGTTTGCTTTCTAATTGGCCTATTTTAAGTTGGTGTAGATGCACATTTTTTGATAGCTGAAGCCTTTATTTACCCTAATAAAGCTTATTTTTATTTGGCCTTGGGTTGGTATACTTTATGTAGAATCCAACAAGGAACAAAAGGGCTTCAGATAAAAAACTATATATATTCAATAACTGAGGTTGTTGAATATTTGCGATTTGATTTAAAACTTACAATAAACTCAGATACTTTATTGTGGCCGCTTGCAAACCTGAACGCTTTGGGCTGCTTCCAGTTCTAAGACCGTTCCTTTTGTGTTTGACCAATTACTGGTAAACTTTACCTGGCGAGGACAACACTGGAGACTTTTCTGAGGTTTATGTACGTTTTGCACAGAGTGAACTGATTTAAATCAAAGTGTTGATTCCAAAAGATGCCTTGTATGTAAAAATCACTGTTTGTTACTTTGCGTGGAGCTGTGCGTCTCACTGTTATTTCTTGTCCATCCTTGATATTTTGTTTAAAGTATTTGCAACCTGACAAAGAAACAAGAGTTAGGATTCCTGCCTGAACTTCTGGCTTACTCTCAGGGTATAAAATAGATGCTCCACCGGTGGGCCATCTACCAAATCAGAGCCCACCAACCCACTGCAGATGCAGCACATGTTCACAAAATCCAGATGTTCACTGTTTTCTCTTTCTGCTCCACAGTGAATGTTTACTCCTTCCGCCACTCGCTTTTTGTCTGACACTGAAGAGCTTCATGTCTATATATCAGCATTTATGATAATGAGTGATATGTTTACATTTTTTTTTTGTCATGAAAAAAATAATGTAGTTATTTCTCCTGTTTTGGACAATTGCTGTTTTTTTATGTGCTGTGAATTTATTAAAAATAAAAATTAATCTTATAGTATGTCATAAAAGCATGAATCTGTACTTTGTTTTATGTGCATGAAATAGAAAAAAAGCCTTAAATAAAAATAATTTGATACGGTCTGAAGCATTCTCTTTGGGCGGTAGTTTTTCTGCAAGGTTGATTAAGTCCTAAGAACTGTGGAGACATTATTGATGCATATTGCAGTATATTTATTAGTAGAAATGTGTAATAGTTAAAAAGCCTCTGAGCATAAAAGGAAGTCTTATAATAACCAGTTGTACAAAATAATGTATTAGTGTTTTTGTGTTCGATTGGATGTAAGATTAAATTACACCCCACCCCCCTCGATAAACAACCAATCACATTCACTTTCTTCACTCGTTTAAAGTTGTGCACCACTTGGGAGAATTTGGAAATGCGACGTTTGGGACAGTCGTTTCCCTACGACTTTAAGGTCAGCTCTAACAGCATCTCAGGATCATCCATTATCAACCTGGTTTCACTTACCCGCATATTGAAGAGAACATACAGACTTTAACATCAGGTGGGCTGGATGAGGGATGCTAAAAAATAAAGGACCGAGGACCCCGAGGACCAGGGAGAAACCAGGGAGCCACCTACAACCTGCAGGACAGAAGAGGGTCCTCAGGAATAGCAATGATAACCATGGATTATGCTGACCTTTAAATGTCTAAATGCTTTTGCTCTGCAGAATTAATATATATGATGCAAATATGCAGTGTTTTTGGTTTGGTGTTATCAGTGTGATGCAGAGTCTGTGACATGATTTAGAGCTTTTTTAACATTTCAACTGTCTGATGGTGGTGGGGAAGAAGCTGTTGCAGAATCTGCTGGACATGCATTGAATGCTGCGAAGCCTCTTCCCAGAGGGTCCATTGTGGGGGCGTGAATGGCTGGTTATACTCCTGCAGACTCCTGTTATACTCCTGCAGCAGTGTGTCGCAGATATATATATATATATATATTTTTTTTTTTGAGTTTTTCCTCCAGTAGTGGCTCGCCATTTCAACAGTAGGCTGACAGGAAAAGGGGTGAGACATGCAGAAAAGGACCACAGGCCGGACCCAAACGCGACGCTCATGCGTCGTGTGCTCCAACCACTGCATCACCCGCACGCCCGTCGCAGATATTTTTGATTTATGCCCAATATTGAAGCGTGGCCTGTGCTATGTTTTTTGTATGTGTTTTTACGGCAATAGTGGCCCGTTTTATAGACAGTAGGCTGACAGGAAAGGGAGTACGAGAGAGGGGGAGAGACATGCAGGAATGGACCACAGGCCGGATTCGCCTGCATGGAGGACTAAGGCCTCCATACATGGGGTGTGTGTGCTAACCACTGCGCCACCAAAGCATGCTCTGGCCTGCACTATGTTATTCCACACCACTACGCAAGAGAGACAATAGCAAACTAGCTGTTGGTCTAGATACGGCCGAGGCGGTGTGGAAGTGGGGGCAAGTTTGTGCGACAACAGAGGGACATGAGGGCGAAAAAGAGCGGGGATCCACATGGAAAAAGGGTCCCAGTGTTCTTGTGCACCCCGCTCTTCAAACTGATCCATCTTCACGAGTCGTTTTCCACAATGGCGGTCATACAAACAACACATAGTGTAGAGCGTATGTAGATTTGACCAATCAGAGGCCTCCTGTCTGCGGTTACCTACAATTTTGGAGAGGTGAAGCAGAGTGGCTGCGACACACATGCATCTGGTTTCTGTATATCAGCATTGAGGAGTCATTGATAATGTTAGCATCACAATCTGTTCCAGGTCCCTAATTATACCAGAAACAGATTCATGAAGTAAATTGACATTTTATTTATTTATTTTTTTGCTTTTTAGAAGTTTAATTGGTTCTGCACTTCTCTAAAACACATGAAAGGAAAGACTGCTGTTAAACAGTATAACCTGATAGAAAATCTTGATTTGATTAGAAATCCCTACCCTATTTGTCTCCTGTGGTTTTATTAATTTTTTTCTCTCTCATTTTTCCCCATCTCTAATTCTTGTAAATCTCTCCCATATATGCGTCTGTTGTATGCGGAAGAGGATTAGGGCCACTGAAAAAAAAAAAGAAGAAAAAGTTAACTGATTTTTAAATATTATTTCAGTTTAATATTCTCAGAGTTCTGACTTTAATCCCGGAATTTTAGATCTTAATGTTGGGCACCATGAAGGAAGAGATGTGGGAGCACTTAGCATCACTGACAAAGATGTGAGTTGTTTGAGAGAACCGGTGACACATTGGTGGGAAATGACGTAATTAGGCGACTTTTTACGTGACCGATGGGTCCACGGTAGGGTTGTCAAAAGTATCGATACTCAAAAAAGTATCGATACTCAAAAAAGTATCGATACTGAAATGTTGTATCCGGATACAATACTCATTTTCAAAAGTATCGAGTACCAGTCGCACCTAAGCAGTCATTCATCTAAAGTGCAGAATAGAGGACAATGCACTTTCTGAACACTGTGATTGAATAATTCTACACACTTTTCAGTTTCAGACTTTTTTTGTAACAGTTGCAGCTGCTGAGAATTATTTTTGTCTCTTAACCGGTTTGGCTAGCGCCATTGCTATGTGTGCAAAGCATAGCCAAGTAAGGAAAACTTAATTTTAATTTTG